TAGTGTGTGGAGACATTTCTAGTACTTATTAATACATGCATGTGCGTCTTTGTGCGTGTGTACATGTTAGTACATTTCTAGTTCCTATGAATAGCCAAGGTATTATCTTTATTGACACACTTTACTCTTTTTGTTAGGGCTGGGTTAAGCTCTTGCACAACTATGGAAATCTTGTATGTCTAGAAAGCAAGATCCAATAAAGAAAAAATAAAAAAATAAAGATAAAGGCTACGCATAACAATTTGCATGAAAATGCTTGTTCATTTCAACTGAGTTTACAGAAGGATATGATATTGAAGGTAGGAAATAATTTTCCTTGAATATGTCTAGCTTTCTATTGGATTGGATTGGTGTACGGTAATTGGTACTTGTAATGAAAAATTGAACTTCGTTAACTAAACAAGTTCTAAACTAAATTGATTCGAAACTTGTAGTAGGTTAGACTTAATTGTAAGTAAATTGATGAGTCACTGACATACGATGATAAAATGATATCTTTTGCTTTAAACTAAGAAGCATAGATATTAGATACACACGGCACGACACATACACACTGACATGCAAAATTTTTAAAATTGGTTGGACATGATACATGAGGGACACAAATATATATTTATTATATATTATATATATGAATATTTTATTAAAGCAGCAGCTTATTTGTGGGCTTATTTTACAATTTTGGAGCTTTGAAACTGCAATTTCTCCATTTTTTAAAGGTTGCATTCTTAGATCTTATATGCTTGCACTAGCAGTTTCCAGCTTCGCAAAAACCAGAAAAAAAATCCGTTCATGCAAATCGCAGAGCATCTTTGCCATTGCCGATGAGATCCAATCCCTGTGTCGGTATCCTTGACTGCATAAAGTCTCCAGATGTTTCTGTCAATTCTCCTCGAATTGACAGGATGGTTGAATTTCCATTAGCCTCATATGAAGACTCCGTCATTCCCATCCGAAGAATTTCATCAACCTCTGCACAAGGTTCCTCCACCTCGCCACAAGGCGATCAATCAATCATGAAGGACAAATGTACGGTGCAGGTGTTAGAAAGAAACTTTGGCCGATTAAGTTTTGGCAAAATTAAGTTGGGTGGAGAGGATGGAAGTGAGTGCTCAGACCAAAATGCGACAGCTGGGGCAACGAGCCGGACGTTGTCAGACTTGCAGCGTCGTCCATTTGACATGTCCTCATACCAGCAGCGAGCTGAAGCTTTGGAAGGGTTGCTTGAATTTAGTGCAAGACTGCTGCAAGACAAAAGGTACAATGAACTGGGGGTGTTGTTGAAGCCGTTTGGACCAGGGAAGGTTTCTCCTAGAGAAGAAGGTTGTAAAACATGGTAAGATGATTTCTGAAAGTGAGGATGGGTTGGCTGTTATAAGTGAGCAGTTGCTCAGCATAGGAGTGGCAAACAGGTTTCAAGGTGTTAGGTGGTGGGGGTCGTGCCTCAGGGAAATAGGCATACAACCAGGCCTGGAAGAGCCAGAAGGGGCCACCACAGTTGCCAGAAATTTTCTTGTCGACAAAAGAAAATAGGGCCTTGTAAAGGGTGGCAAGAAGATAAGGGGCTAAAGCCATAAGTTGGCCATCTTGCATACACAAGGCAAGGGGGAGGTATTCTTTCGTGATCTTGTACCCAGGGACATAAAAAAGAAACTCACAAAGCCAAAGTAAGTAAAAAGCAGTTCTTTCTTTGTCATCGACAGGGGAACCAGGCTTGCCTTGGTATTTTTTGGCAAAATCTGTATAGCACATGTCAGTGTTTAAAGTAAATGTCACTTTTGGAGGCTCAAGAAGAGCATGAATTGGATTGCTCAAGATTGGGAGACCAGTCAAGTGAGCTACATCTAAGATGGTAGGGGAAATCATACCAAAATTAAGGAGTAGAGAGTTACTAGACTGCGACCAAAAGCATGCAGCAGCAGCAATCAGCCCTTTGTCCACGTCATAAATTTTAGTCGACAGTCTAATTGCTTCACCAATGCCCTAGTGCTTCCATACTTCAGCGTCGTGACCTTCAATTCTCCTGGCCCAGCTTCGCCAATTAGAGCTTGGTGACCTCCACCCTCTGAGTGGGTTTTTGCTGACATTCCAGTTAGTCCACTTGAGTCCAGTTTGGTTGAGAAGAAGGTTCTCACCATTACCAAGGGGATAGTATGGAGCTAGCTCGTCTGGGAAGTAAGACGTGAAGGTAGGGCCTAGAGTAACCTTAGCGACAGAGCTTGGGCTGGGCAATAGGGTTGCAGCAAATTTTAGAGGAGCGATAAGTGCTCTGATAGGGTCCGGGAAGCGGAGTAGGTCTTCATTGTTCTCCTCAGATGGAGATGGTTGAGATTTTTTCGGTGCCATGGCTTAGGGTTTTGTGGTGCTCTGGTTTTGAACGGCAATGGTTGAGAAGAAGGAGTACAGTCTGGGGAGTTCGAATCAGAGGGAAATGAAGTGGTTTGAAGTTGAAAGGGTGGGTCTTTTATAGCTTATGATGGGGCCAGTATATTTAAAAGCTCTTATATTGGGCTGTACTTTATGTTTGTTTTGGGCCCAAACAATGGCCCCCTCGTTGAAGTTAAATATCATATGACTTGGACCCCCATGACCCCCTCTCTCTCTGATTGGCCACTTTTTTTTTTTTTTTTTCAATTTTTTTTTTTTTTTCCTTCTCCAAACAGCAGCCCCCACGTGTGTGTGTGTGGGGGGGGGTGGTGGTGATTGGGGGGGTCTCAATCACTTCCGCAATATTTAACTTGAACATGGGGGCCATTGTTTGCACCAAGTTTTGCCAGTCTCTGTCGACAGATGGTCCACTTAATCGAGGGCATGTGGCCAAGTCTGAAGGAATGTCCACGACCTGAAAGTGGGCTCTCTGCATGTGGGTCACCTAGAAGTGATGGGGGAAGTTTTTAGCACCAGTCATGGAGTTAGTGGGCATACTTTCAGGAGGAAGCATGAGACAAAGCAGGAGCCTTGCTCTGTCGACAGAAGTTTCAAACAGTTGGTGGCCATGAAATAAACATAAGAAAAGGGAGATCGACAGATAGAAGTGGAGGTTTAGAATACTTGGAATGCCCAGAACGGAGATCGTTGGTTTCGATATCCGTATACTGTTTTTGTGGCCCATCATTGCATGATCCCACACGTTTACACCATAACTGCGCCTGTAACTACCTCTTGACTTCGAATCTTCAAGTCCAATCTGCCAAATATTGACTCTTCCCTGTCGACCTTCCTTTTCACCATTGTGGGGCATGTCCCTCATCATTATGAGACAAAAATCGACAGAATATTGTCCACTAAACACAACCACAATCCTTGCAAACTGGGCCAATGAACCGCAACACTTGGCCACTCACTGTTACTGCCCCTGACTATGAATCATCAAACTCTGCCAAATATTGAATTTTTCCTATAATTTAATCAAAATATATTCAATGTCGGTAAACTTGAAAATATGTTTGAAATAACCTTTTTCTGTATTGTAATGACTTAAACACAATTGTTGTCCTACATTTTACGTAACGAAAATACACAACTTATTTATATCAAAAACAAAATATACATCTCGGGTTTATAATCAAAAAAATGGGAACTACTTTTTTTTTTTAAAAAGTTCACTCATATTTTTAGCTACATTCTGATTGGATATTAGATTAAAAATTTCTCTTTGCACCTATTTTTCCCACATCCTCCCAACAGCTGCTCCATTCAACTAACATTGAATCTTGCATGCCACTTGACTTACATGCTAGAGCAGTTACTGGCAGTGCTCATGGATTTAGTGGCCACCCTCCAAGCGGAAACATGAACGACTTGGGAGTCTGTATCTGTCGAGGAAAGGCTAAAAGGACCTGGGCACAGGTGGCAACTTCAATTATATGCACTTCGAGAAGTACAAGTGAAGCTTTTATGTGGTTTCAATACACGGAAATGATCGTGCCGTTACAGAAGTTGCACAGAAACAGTTGCAGAATTGGCAGATCATGGGGTCGTGGGAATTTTATAGCTATAAAGGACAGAATGTTTGCAGAGAGAGGGGACATGAACAACAACACAACTTACTTTCTACATTGTAACTTCTGTGTAGTTTTTTCCCTTCTACTTTCTACTTTGTTACAAACAACACAACAACACAACAATTTACTTTCTACTTTCTACTTTGTTACTTTCTACTTTGTTACCATCAGTTCATCGAAAGAAGTCTTCATCCATTCAGGCATTTGAACCAATACCACAATTACTTGATTTTCTTCTTGAACTTGTCAACTTTAAATTACTGCTTCGTTGCTGTAGATATAGGCCCACCATAATTTTACTAACAATAAACCCATACTTCCATAGTAAACATTAAATAATTTCACAACTCCTGTTCGTAACTCGTAATTTATATACCAATCGGCATGGAGATAAAGTAACGAGTTCGTTGGGTTACTTTCTCCAAGTAACACCCAAAATTAACTGCCACTTAGATTATATACAAAATGCATGTGCTGGTATGTAATTTTGCAAACCCACTTGGACAAAATTCGTATTTTACTCGAAATATAATACTAATTTACAGACACAAGTCATAACAAATCAATACGAAGCGAAACACATCATTAGTTGATAAACCACACCGCAAAAAAACCCTTCAGTTAGATCCAACCAAATATGGAACAGAAACAAGCAACCCGCAATAGGAATCTTGGAATACAGACATAAGCCAATTTCCCACCCAAAACAACACACAGACAACCCATATATATCTCACCTCACCTTCAGTTAGTTTTGAAAATGACAAGTCACTGCAAACACAAATGACAACATCACTCTAAACAATATGGGAAATTTACAACTCGTGGCCTTGTACATAAGTAATGTTGTGCCATTTCCTGGCATTGTACATAACCAATTATTTACACATTACGTACAGCAATCCGTGCAAAATGAAAACTACATACATTATTTCCATGTGTTTTCAATAACTAGTACTGTCTACCTAATAAATTAAGGGAATAAGTAAATCATACAAATTATACAATTACCTGATTCACCTTATCAATTATGTTCGAATCATTTTTCCACACTGCTGCTTCAACACTACCGTATTGGCCCACAGGCTGCTTGGAATCAGGAGAAACATCGAAAAATAGTCGCCGTTGCTTAATGTGCGGTGTACTTGGATCCACCAACCCAGTTTTGCAGCGAACGGGCAATGACTCCGCATTGTACTCACGGTCAGTTATGTGGGGTGTATCTGCATCTGAGTTAGTACCCACTATTCGGCTAAACCGAACCTTAGGACACGTTCGCTTTGTGTGCCCAATGCATTTGCAATTCCCACATTTTCTTGGTCTTCGACAGTTGGACGAGGCCCGTCCTGGGTTCCCTTTTGTCTTTACAACATCAGGATCTTCTACTCCAAATTGTCGACGGAATGAATGTTTCCCTTTGTCTCCATTTCCACCGTTCAAATTCCTCTCATATAACTCATTCATCCGGCTCGTCATCGGAAGACATGCATCCCTAGCCTTTTTGAAACCTTCCGTTGATTGTGAGGCATAGAAACACATTTCGTTGTAGGAAGAACACAATATCCCATACCGGGCCGTCTGTGTTGTAGTGCTATCAATTGAGGGTTAAGGCAATTGCTGGCAATCCTTGCTTGCAGCCCTTGTCCATCTATGTAGCACACAAGTTGGGGGAATTTGCGTTAAATTTTCAGCTTTCATAACACATATCATGTGGCAGCAAGGTAGCCCCAACGACTCAAACGTCATGCAAGAACATCTCATTGCAGCATCCATTGGACTGTGTGTTACTATCCATGATCTGTCCTTCACTCTGTACTTATGAATATAGTAGCATTTCTGACCATCCGGCAAAGGGAACACATCCTTCACATTCAACTTCCCCTCTTCTAAGATTTCATCACGGAACATTCTAAATATATTTCGGGTGAATAGCTCAGCTCCATGTCTCTCTATATCTCGCAATGGAGTAATCAATACCGGAAAAGTGTTATTTGTTTCAGCATCATCTCCAGCCTCGTTATACCTTATCCTTGCAAGAGCCCGATCATAGTGCCTAACAAATTCATATAGCTTCAATTTGTGTTGGAGGAAGGGATTGAAATAAGCATTCATACACTCCGAGCGCTGAGTGCTCTTCATCCCAGCAAAGAAATGTCCAGGCATATATGCCTCAGCCCACATATGACGCTTCTCATATGTCACCAAAACCCAACTGTTGGTTTGAAGTCCAAATTTTTCGACCATTGTCGTCCAGCCATGCTCAAACTTTGTCTCATCCGTTTCCATGTCCATGCACTGCTTGAAAGCATGTGCTGTCACGACCCAAACCCGGCCCTATGGGTTTAGCACCGTAACCGGCCAGTAATCCGAGATTACCGAAGGCCTGCAGAACAGTAATACAGTAAAACAGAGTACAGGGCCTGGCGGAAGCCAATACAGTAAATAAATAATGTCCATTGAGCTGTGACAGTCTGTATGCAAAAGACTTTCA